GCCTAAGCTCTAAGGTTAGGTTAACTCTCTCTATTAACAATAATTTAGTAAGGAGGAGTTTCTCTAAAGACATAATAAGAAGATTGTTGGGTGACACCCCAACTGCCCAAACTGGCAGGCTCATCTTCCATGCCTGTTTGCTGGTTGTTGGAATACTTGCAAAAGGGAGTGATGAGTGATGACAACCTCGTCATCTCTATCATAGCTCTGAGGCATCCTCTCAACCTCCACGTGAAGGTTGGGTAGTAAGCAACTGCACAAGCAGGAATGAAAGCCAAAGTACATTTCCAGATATATGTGCTGTTTGATTGGAGAAAGAAAGAATTGAGAATTCCTTACTACACATTTGTGTGTCATCTCCCACATTTTGCGCAAGAGAGGGTGCCTGGAATGAGAGCACCCAGATTTTCTATTCACTTTTTTTATCTATTCTTTATCCGCCGTGAATTGCAGTTACACATCTCTTTATTTGATGCGAATAAAAAATCCCGGTTGAGAATGAAAACTATATATTAGGCTTTCCTTCTACCTCCAAAACTCTAAATTCTCAACCTTATGCCTTATTTTAATATTGGGTTTAAGGAACTCAGACCTGGAACATGCTCAAATGGAGCAATAAAAGTGAGATTAAATCTCAAAGTTTCAAAATTCCAACTCCAAATCCACCACTTTGTTTGGCAAAGTAAAGATTAGGCATGGAATTATGGGTATGCATGTAATTAATTAAACCATCTATAGGGTTTTAATGGGTCAATACTCCTTTATCTGCCCATAAAGTTCTTGTAAATGACTTCAATACCCTTTTGTAATGAGCTTCATGCCATAAGAAAGCATATTCAGTGAATTCAATTTAAAAATATTTGTCAGCACTCTGCACTCATTTATCTTGCATTGGAATCTCTTATCTTGATGCCATGGAATTCAACAAATTTGTCAGCATTTATGTATCTTGGCTTAGAATCTTTTTATCTTTTATGTTGGTTGAAAGAATTATGAACCTACTTCCAGATTCTATTGTCCTTCCCCATAACAAAAATATAACTGGCCACAGCAGGTATTCATAAAAATCAAAAAATTAAACCGAAAAATGCAATTACTTAATCAATATAACCATAATATATTATATATTTATATTTTATTTTATAATACTTTTTATAAATATAAAAAACTAAAATACCAAAAACCAAAAACCAAACTAATCAACTGGTAAACCGATTGATTCAGTTCGAACATGAAACCGAAGAGACTAGTTCATTTTCAAAAATATACCGACAGTTTGTTTAACCCTTGTGGGCCACTTTGAATTCTTCAATGATCTATTGTCAATTTGTCAATATTACAATAAGGGTATCAATGGACCAGTTTTGGATTGGACCCTGTATAGTCTAAAATCAATTTGGATGGATTGAATAGATCAATAAGACGTATTAGATTGGACCAATCCGATCCAAAATATTTATTAGATTGGATTGGACCTGGCCTGTCTATAATAAATTTATATTGGATTGAGTTGGATTAAACCAATATCTGGCCCATTGATATTAAATAAGAATATATGTGTCAATGTACCAGATTTGGGTTGAAACCAATCTAAACCAAAATGAATTTAAACTGATAGGACGGTCTAGACATTGAATTGGACCGGTCCAATTCAAAAATCTTGGTCTCAATATTTCCAAATGGGGGCACTACTGTTCTATATCAATAGGTTTTATTTCAGATTTGTCATCTATTTTTACAAAAGAGGGATGAAACAGCCAAACTAGTCATCATCTATGGGTCTCCTCTCAAACATGGTTCAAAATATTGCAACATATCATACCATATCATATGAATTGGAAATTACGCTAAATAAGATGATGTAAGTAGTGTGTGATGGGCCTTTATCCAATCAGGATTTCCGACTCACTTTTCATACCCACTCTAAATCTGGGCTCTTCATCAGTAATCACTCAATTGGTGATTTTTATATTATCAAGCATATCAATACTTAAAATTACACTCCCAACTGATTGGGACAGTCTTTTTTACAACCCAGAAAGAAGTCTGTTCCAATCTCTTACCCATACGTCACTACAGCCTCACATCGACTTAGCATTAATGAGGAAATATTCCCAATGTACAGTTGTAGTATCTCATTGATAAACGTGGATTGGATTCTTATAAGTAGGAGATCAGACCGGAAAAAAGGGCCCACATGGTTTTTTTATTTTTATGCTGAAGATTCTTGGGTTGTTTAGATTACTTTTGTAGGTGGGCCCTATAACAATCCTTATAAAGTTGACATATTTGTTGAAGATTTGTGCTAGGTGCTAACTACGTATGAATTTTTTCTCTCAAGGACTAGAAATCCTACTTATAGTGCTTTGGTCTATTCTTCCAAAGCATAGATCTAGAGGAGCTATCAAGAAAAGGACCAGACTAAATCACCTTAGGACCTACAAAAAAGAGCATGGACCCATTACAGAACCATCAGATTCAAATCTCTTTCTAGGGCTACAAATGGATCAAACCATAGGATATAGGTGGATTCAAATTTGATTTGTTTATATTAGAATTCAAATAGAATCATATTCATTGGGATTTATATCAGATTTTAATATTGAATAGTTTTAATATATTAAACTATAAATGATCAAAATATCCAATATTATAAATAAAAAAAACTAAAAATCACTTTAATATTGCATCTCAATAACAAAATGAGGAAAAAAAAAATGAATCTTTGACAATTTGGTAAAAACACAACATTTAAACCAACTTTATCGAATTCGGATCATCATTAATAGGATCGAATTCGGACAAATGGATACTATTTGCAGCCGTATCTCTTTCTTGGGGATTGATAAATAGAGTGACATTCCCCCTAATCTAGGTAGGGACCAATTAGCTCACAAAATCTTTTCTGGTCAAGTGGGTAATTTTATTGTCAATTGGGTAAAACTTGAGAGATCCATTGGACTGCTTTTTTTTATATGTATATTTAAATTTAACCCATCTACCATTTTTTACTGTAAAAAGCCCAACTGTCAAAAAAGAGTCCAACCCCATTTAACCTAGACTGTAAAGCAGAGAAATAATGGAGGACAAGCTGATCCCTACTTATTTTAATTTAAGATAAGAGTCCAAACCCTAAACACTGTCCACACTTTAAATGAGATGCTATCCATTTGTGGGTTCGGTCCCCTACCATCTCCTTTCACATGTGGGCCCTTCCCTAACTGTTATTATAAGTTATTTAATTCATTCCCCTAAACCTGTACCAACGACCCAACACTGAATGGGGCCCATATTTAAAACGGCCCTCATAGTTGCAACAACGGTGCATGCAAGGCATGTAATGCCAAAGGAATCATCAGATCTGAATCCGCTTTTGCTTTGCAGTTTAAACCCACATTATCGGATCGGATTTCCTAATGGTTCCATTTTCCGAGCCAGTAAGATCAGAAACATATTAGCTAAAACTAGTAATGGCAAAGGCGGGTTCGGGGAGGGGACCATATTCTCCGTCCAATCTTCGTTTCCGACCCGATATCTGGCGGGGATAAAAATGATTAAATGATCCTCCATCCGTGAACACTATATATTACAGAGGTACGGGTAACACCAGATCATCGCGTTTTTTCTTTCAAATGAATGGTACGACAGGGTTATCAACAGTGCAACACAACAGTGTACTTGCTGGTTCGCGTGTTGACGTGTTGTACCAGACAAGAGGATTTAGATGTCATCAAATGAGTATATGCAAGGGTATTATCGTCATAAAAATTTAAATAGTGTCTTTTATACTCTTAGTCTTAGCGTAGAAAGTAATCTCGTTACGAGGGAAAACCAGAGCATTAATCAAGTAGGTGGCGCGAAAACATAGAACGTTAACAGACTCCTTCCCAACTGACTGAAATTTGTCCCTGTCTCACATTTTTCCTTCCTTTTGTGAGCTCCATTCTTCACTTCTCGCGTGCTTTGGAGAGTCTTTGCTGCTTTCTCGCCGGAATTTTTGGTGCTTTGGGAATTCTCGGCAAGCTGACTGCCGGTACTCGTGATCAGAGTATGGATTAGCTGAGCTTCAAGCTCTTTTGCCGGGGAATCCGTAGCTTCTAGATGAACATAAAACACGAGGTAATTTGGTCCAACTTCTGAGGTCTGAGATGTTGTTAGGAACTGAAAATTTTGGAAAACCCGTTCTTTGTCGTTAGGAAGTTGATTTTTGAGTGAAACTGCTGGTTGAAGTGGTTGGGAGCTATGAAATTAGGTTTTAAAGGCTACAGAGTTTGCAGTTTGAGTATGTGGTCATTTTGATGTGCAGATGTGTGGTTGTATTTGGGGAGGAGAATTGTGTTGTTGTGTTGTGCTGATGCAGCGTATCTGTGAGGTGAGCCGATTGCTTGAATTGGATTCACTTTGGTGCTGCTAGGATTTTTTGAGTGATTTATTAATGAATTATCTTCCATTTTCTTTTCATAATAGAGTAGAGGATCTTTGAATGAAGATGAAAAATTCTGTCTGTTCTTTCGTTTCTCCTTTTGATTTTCCGAACTACATTTTACATTCAATCGAATCATTCTCTTTTCTTTAATCTCTTCTCAGTCTTCTGTAAGCTTTCCTATGGAATTTCACGTTATTAGCTAGGTTCGTAACTACGAGATTTTTTTTTCTTAAATCATATATTAATCCGGAAAATAAGGAACATTAACCAATGAAATACACAGTTAACGACGAATTATTTACGAAAACCCGTAATTTGACTTAAATTAAACTTCTTTTCTATTGATTTTCGTTCGCAAATATAAAGTAATCAAAATGGTCAAAACTGAAAGATTATTAAAACCAAACCTCTGGAAACAGTGATTACCAGGAAAAACTCTAGAAACAATTTTTATAGATTTTAATTTTTATTTATATTATATTCTTTAAAGGAGTTTTATTCTTATTTGTTTATGCTTTTACTGTAAATTCATGGATTCATTGGGATGACAATGATCTCTGTTGCACGTGGACGTCCATGTCTGATGCCACAGCCTAATCTCGACTGCCAAATCTTCAAATCCAACAAAAAAAAACTCCCAGAAACTAAAATCTGGAAAATGCAGACAAACAAGAAATTTGTTGAGTGCATTTTTTTTTTCATCTCATTATAAGGTATACACACCAAAAACGGTTAAAACCGAAGCAAGAAAACCATTCATCTTTCTCCTGGAATCTGGTCGATCCCAAGATAAAACCGTTGCTCTGTTCTTGGATTTTAGTACATTTTTACCCACCTCTTTCCCCTTACATCACCATTACTGTTACAGTAGAGAGAGAGAGAGAGAGATCTTCATTTCACTATCATGCAATTCCTTTGCTGGAAAGGAGTTGGAGGGAAGTAGGCCAGAGGGTGTGCACCCACCTCCAGCCCGGACGACCATGGCACTCCCGTGAGAGGTACAAAAGAGAAAAAGAATCCTCTTATCCTGCGCTCCATCCACCTCTTATCATACACCCCCTTCTCCAATTCATCAGTCTACCCAAAGTCTAAGGTCCAATTCCCTGCTTCTTCTCGTTATCCAAACGGACTCCCTGTGTTCGTTCTTTGTTAACAACGGAATGATGGTTGTTCAGTGCACGTCGTAGCCCTCTCGGTTATTCTCTGCAATTTAGAACAACAGATGTCTCCGAACTCACTAGGCTCCTTACCGTCGCCTGATCTGCTTGGATTTGGGCTCCGAATGAGCAGATTGGAAGACCCATTTTCAGCGGTGGGTTACATTTCTGAACTGCATTACTTAGCAGATCTATGTATCTGTAAATATGGCCTCTTTTTATTTATTTTTCTTCTTCTATGGTTACTTCTTGTTTTTCATTCGTTACTTTTGGCTGTGCGTTTGTGGCAGATTGTTTGCAGAGAGGGGGATCTTCTTTCAGGGGTTCGATTCCATTCCTTTGAGGAGGAAAAGATGAAAGTCTGTCATGTTTGTGTGTGGGATATATGAAGAACATATCAATGTGGTCTGAGTTTGATGATGTGGATGGATGTTTATGAAGCAGAGCACGCACCACGGAAGGGGATAGAAGAGGAAACCACAAGACCACCGCTTGTTCCATCTGAGAAGAACAATGCAGCCAATCGCAAGCCTAAGACGAGGGAAGTTACATCGAGGTACAAGGTTGGGATCACATCGCCTTCTCTCTCCACACCAGCTGTGCCCAGGAGGTTTCCATCTCCTAATGTCACGCGCACTGTTGCTACATCTTCTCCTTCGGTGCCTAAGCGAGCCCATTCGGCTGAGAGAAGGCGTCCCTCTACACCACCTTCCCCACCAAGCCCTTCAACTCCAGTCCAAGATTCCTCTGCAGAAACACACGTCTCTTCCAGGAGGATAATGGGTGGCAGGACCCCGGAAGGCTTGTGGCCCTCCACAATGCGGAGTCTTTGTGTTTCCTTCCAGTCTGACACTTTCTCCCTTCCTATTACTAGGAGAGAAAAACCAGTCAGCCACTGCTCTGATCACACCTTAAAGCCTTCATCTAATGTGGCACATAAGCAGGCCGAAACACCTGCTGTTCAGCGCAAGGTAACACCTGAGAGAAAAAGGACCCCCCTTAGAGGGAAGAATGCCCCTGATCAGTCAGAGAACTCGAAACCTGTAGATGATTCACATCTTCGTGTGGTAGATCAGCATCGATGGCCTGGCAGAACGGGTGGGAAGCTATCTGCTAATGCCTTCACAAGAAGCGTGGATCTCACTGATAAGAGCAGCCAAATGGCTTCTTTAACACTTCCAGGACGAGGGGTTTCTCCGCTGAGGAGAACACCAATATCTGATGGCTTGGACAAGCCATTGCGAAAAGCTATTTCTGATGTTACAAGACGAGTATCGTTCGATGAGAGTGGCATAGTAGAGTATGAGAGGCGTGAAATTGATACTTCGTTGCAACCACATGGAATTCACAAGTCTGTTACATCTAGCGTTGGGTTTTCTTCAGTTTCATCAGAAAGAACATTGTCACTAACTCGCGCCAGCAGAACTCAGTCCTTGCCTATTCATGGATCTGCTCGTCTTCCATCACCCAGTAGAGCCCTATCAGTATCATCCATTCCTTCTAGAGGAATGGTCAGCTCAGCACGGACAAGGTTATCTAATCCTATTCCTTCAGTAAGTTCCTTGGCAAATCGATCCAGCAATTCGGCTTCTGTTCTCAGCTTTATTGCTGATGTTAGAAAAGGAAAAAAAGCGGTGGACCACATAGAAGATGCCCATCAGCTGCGGCTGTTGTACAATAGATACTTGCAATGGCGATTTATCAATGCTCGAACAGACGTTGCTCTGTCTATACAGAGATTTACGGCAGAGGTAGGATTCTTTATTTGCATGGCACTGAGAAAGGATTTTGCACTCTCTACAAATCTTAGGCTTTTCCTTGTCAACATTTCGTGTGCTGACTTAGATCAGTTGCACTCAATTGGAAAATCCTTTCTTCAGTGGCATGAGGCCATTAGTGATTTAAAGATTTTGTTCATGGATTTGAAATCATATTATGAAATCAACTTGATGAACTTTTCTGTTGGATCACCTGTTCTTGAAGAGTTGAGGACTTGAGGTGGATCCTTGTCCCTTATTTGCTCTAGGAAATTTTAACACTTTTTTTTTTTCTTTTGATCAGTAATTAAAACACTTGCATTGAAATCGACCACTTACAGTATTCTATACAATTTCATAGTCAAAGGTTCTAGATTTGTGGCTGATGAAACATAAATACCTCTGAAGATGTTAAATAACAGAATTTGATAGGAAAGTGAAATACCAGTAAAATCAATTTACAAGCAGAAAGAATATTCCCTTCTATGGTTCAGATACAGAAAACTTTCATACCAAGCATGATTACAGAGTTTAAGATTGAAGGGTTACCACCTCATCGTTTTTTTTTTTTTTTGAATTAAAATAAAAGTTTCTTATTATAATGGGACCTGCCTAATGGTCAATCATGTCAGAGTCCTGACAGAAGACTCTTTGTTTGAGCTTTCTAGGTTTCTGAATTCTGAAAGGCAACCTAGGGTTTGACTTACTGGTAGTCTATGTCAACCTTCAATTTCTTTCTGCAGGCCATATTTTCATGAAGTACTTTATTTTCACCTTAACATCATCTCCCCAAGGCCTTCCATAGCCATCAGAGATAAAAATCACCTTTAACAATATATGGATTCATTGTCATTTGATACAAATAGTTGAAAAGAAATTAGTGCCTTTTAATTAATTATTTTCTGTGAACTTTCCATTGACAGTCTTTATGTTCTCCATGTGGTAATGTATCTCCTAGCATATGATCATTAAAAGTATTTGTGGCACTGTTTGATAATAGTGAAGAGTCCTCGCCCATCTTTTTCTTGTTTCCTGTTTCCCTCGAGATCATGTTCTACTTCATTGGACTCGTATGTGTTTGTGGGTATCCCTTGATCTGCCCGCGCTCATTCAAGTATAGCTGGTCTGTAATTTCAGTGTCAGGGAGAGTATTTTACAGAACCTGGCTTCCTTTGTGTTTTACAGACACCTCCTAGCAGAGTAACTTGACTCAGAATTTTTTTGGGTTATGAGATCTGCAAATGGTATGGCCAAAGGCCTGGCCAAACAAGAGGTAAATAGGAATACTTATTTTGGGCTCAATTGTAATTTGAAAAGCTAAGTGTGGTAGGTGGTTGCTTACCAGCCTATGCTAGGGACACTTGGCATATTGTATTTATCTCCTTTTAATAAATTTAATGAAATTTCAGGTTTACCTGTCAAAAAAAGAAAAAAAAAAAGCAAGTGGCTAGAAAAGCTGCTAAAACTATCCTTTTCTATGCTTTTTTTGTCAGATTTCCATGGTTTCATGCTGCATATTTCTCATTGTCAGGATCGGATCCTGTTTGATTCATCCTTTGATGTAGGGCGCATGTGTTATATACGACCTATACTAGCACACTTTTTCCTTTTGTAACTATTTTCTTTGCCCTTTCTTTACCTACTCATGATTTACATTACCTATCAAAAGTTAAGCTATTTTATTACCAAAAATTCAATTATGATATATGAGCATGACAATAAGGAATCAGTGGATATTTCCTACAACATAGACAAAATGATCTTGTATGAATAAAAGAATTGATGTATGCTTTCTATAACTTTGTCTAAGGAAGATACTACTCTTTTGGGTTATGCATGTTCACTATGTTTCATCTGGCTGTGATGTGTTAGTTGTTTAAGAAAACGAATGATAGAATGCATCTCACACCATGACTTAGCTGAATAAATTAATGAAGTATCCTTTTTATTATGTTTTCATTATTTTAGTGTACCCTTCAGATATTCTTGAAGCTGGAATATAATTTTCCAAATAAAATATTCTCCAAAAGTTCATATTATTAGTACCATAATATTGAAAATTCATTTCATACTTCTGTGTTTGTGGTTATGAATTCAATGGTTGTCTGTATTACATATCGTTTCAGTGGTTAAGGATTTCAGATTTACCTAACATTATATAAAACATGATGCCTTCCTCCTCACAAAATATTCCTAATTTTGACTTTGCAGAAAACTCTGCACAATGTGTGGAACACCACTTCAGAGTTGCGGGATTCTGTTATCAAAAAAAGGATAAAGCTTCAACAAATGAGACAAGAGCTGAAGTTGAAATCTATTCTGAATGGACAAGTAAGGTCTCATTTAGTTATCTGTGTGTTAGACATCATGGATGTATCCCTTTTAGCACCTAATTTCTCTTATTGAGAATGGAAATTTGGAATGCTTAAAAAGACGAACAACAGTTAAAAGGACAGAATATAGTGATAGAACTGTATGTTCTTCCATGTTGTTAGTACATTTGTTTTTCTCATAACCAATATTTTTTTTTTTTTGGAAAATGAGAAGGGAAGTAAAAAAAAGAAAAGAAAAGCAGAGTATATAAGAGAATAATTGACCAAGGGAAAGGATTGTAATTGGTAAACTAGCTTCCAAATTTGCTTTTGTTCTAGCCTCTGTAGCCAACCTGATCCCTTTCCTGAAAGAATCTATTGGCATAGGAAAGGGAGGCTTTTAGAATTATATATGCCTTTATGTAGATGAATTACATCCATGAAATTAGAATCCCGCTTACCAGCAACGTATGTAAAATCATGTGGCCTTCTCATCACTCGCAAACTTTGTCAATCACAGAAGGGCTTTTACCTAAAGTTCATTCATCAATGTTTGGATTCACCAGATCTGGATGGATAGGATGTTTGAATAGTCTATCATTCTACCATTTTGAGTAAGAGGAACTATGGTTGAATACTTGATGGAAAATTTTGGAAATATATTTTTCCCCATTCCTCGGAAGCTCTGAATCTATTTTGGGAATTTCTTTATTCTTTTTCATAAGTCATTTAAGCCATAGCAACGTATATATTCGTGGCTTGTATTTTTTTCAATTTATATTCACATGTCTTTATGCTGAACACCAAGCTTCACTAATTTTAATTTTTAAGTTTCTTGGGCAATGTCATTTACTTACACATAATGAAATATTGATTTATTCAGTTGGCCTACCTCAATGATTGGGCTTTATTGGAAGGAGACCATCTTATTTCTTTATCTGGGGCAATTGAAGCCTTGGAGGCCAGCACTCTCCGTCTTCCAGTCACTGGAGGAGCAAGAGTATGCATATATTTACTAATTTTTTCCTACAACTAAATTTATTTAGAAAAATTCGATATGTTTGATAAAGACAAATTGTAGATTGAAAAATCATTTGAATCTTTACCATCTGTATAATTGCAGGCAGATGTTCAGACTGTAAAGAATGCTATTAGTTCAGCAGTTGATGTGATGCAGGCAATGGGTTCCTCCATATGTTCCTTACTGTCAAGGGTGAGAATCGTGATTTTCATATTAATTGCTACTATTTCCCAAAATAATGCAGTGATGACTAATCTATGTTGCTATTTTTATTTTCTCGTTTACCTCTTTTTTTTTTTTGATAGTTTTCTTGTTTAAGCCCCCCTACCAGTTGAGGTTGACATTCTACTTAGCAGCATTAATTAGATTTTATTAAATGTTATCTTCCAATATGCTTTCAATTTGTTACAATTTACTCATTCTCTTTATTCTTGTACAAATTTGTCTTGAGCTAGAAGGCATCATTTTCAGGGGATGCATATTTGAGAGAGAAACATGTGATGATTTTTTTGTGTTTTTTGATGTCAGCCTTGCTATTTCAATGGTTTCCTTTCATTTCACTGCCCAACACTCAATAGGGTTCTCATACCTTTCAACAGAGAATAATTCAGAAGTAAACAGATTACTACCATTATTTTCCAATCGTATACTTTATTATCAGTATCATTTCTCTTTGAAACATTTATGAAGATTTGGGAAATATAAAATATTAACTTGTCCAAGTTATGTACATGTACCAGAGTGGCAGCTGAAGAATTATCACTAAATAAGCTCAAAGTAATGGTGAAAACTCAAAGTAGGTGTTAGACTGGCTACTACATGTTTCCCAAGAAGCAAATAAGCATAGATAAAAGCTATGACTACATAAGATTTTATGCCACTAAATGTCGTCTGGAGGTGTACATCCTTATAGATGGTGTAACTACATTAAAGGACTGTTAGTACATGACTGCTACTACTCCTTTAACTATTGATGCAGCATAGTACCCAAGACGAACTGATCATATTTGCAAAGACTTGGATGGTAACACAAGTGAGATATTTGAAGTGAATGAAAAGAGAAGATGAAGGCTAGAATCTCAATCCTTTGCGACGTTGGGGTTGGATTCTTATGAATCCAAAGCATGAACTAGTGGGATTTCCATGCTGTCTTAAGGAGAATCTCTTCCAATAAAAGGTTGCAAAGCCAAAAACAGATTAATTTTCATTAAACTTGGAATAAGAGGTTGAGGACATATGTAAGAAAAGTATTTACTATTAAAGAAATTGAATATATTGTGAACCATAATATGATATACCTATAAGAAATTGCACAAGTAAATGTGTAAGTTTAATTATTTGCCACCTAAGAACAGCCTATTATAAAAAATGTAATTGATTATTTTACTATATGTCCATTATATCAACCAAGAGGGGAAAAAGAAAAATAAGTTGAAACAGACAGAGAAATGGGAAAAGAATGCCTAGAGAAAAAGAAGTTTCTCCCAATTCCTTATTGAGTGGGAATTTTGTAAGCTTTTGGTGATTTGAATTTTGGTATTTCTGAGGTTTTCAAATTTATTTTCTATTTTATTAGTGTCCTAGGAATAGGATTGATTGTCTAAAAGTGTTAAAATAATTTAAAGAGTTTTATTTAGGGATGTAAATCAGGCTGGGTTGGATCGAGTTGAGGTCAACCCTAACCCAACTGAAGTTGTTGAACCCCCAACCCTGATCCAGGTTAGACTCAGGTTGGCCCAATTTCTTTACTTTTCTTTTTTTGCTTCAAAAAAATTGTTCTCACTTATTATCATGCTTAGGATTAACCAACTAAGGTTGATTTTAGCATTAAAACATTTAACTGGAAAAAGTTATGATGCTTTAGGAGTTATATAATAATGTTACACTAAAAAAGTCTTCAAAAACCTTGCATGCAACATACTTGTCTAACATTTCAGGTTTGGGTTGGGTTGCTTTATGACCTCTACCCTAAACCAACCCAGAGTTAAGTCAGGGTCACTTTTTCAACCCTAACCTGGCCCAACCCAACCCGGCATTTTTGGGTTGGGTTCAGGGTGGGTTTGGGCTAATATGGCTGATTTATTACAAAGTTTTGGAGTTTCAAAAAGTTGAAAGTGTAATCACATCACTTTTATTTTATCTTTTTCAAAGGTCAAAAATTATTTATTTTCCTTTGTTTTGGTGGAGACCATAGTTTATCTAGTGGCTTCGTCAATACCTGTGGCCTTATAGCTTTGGTGCATGGGACCAAGGGTGAAAGATATAGAGGGTTGAGACTTGAGAGAATGTTATTGGAATAACTTTGTGAAACCATTGGGATACCAACAACCACAAGGCTTGGATTATACGTTTTTGTAAAGAAAAACTAAATTTGATTCGCAAATTGTCCAAGTACCAACATTGCATACTAGTGCATTAGATTATACATCTTTGATTCGTAGATTTTTTATACAATCTAACAATTTATCACAAGATTCAGACATTCTATCAAAGTTATCATTCACTGATCGGACAACTACTTCAACCTCATCTAGCAGGTATTTACATTTCCATACTTCTCGAAGGTCCTGCCCCATCTCCTTTGATGGTTACTCTCCCCGTGTTATGCTGGACATTTTCTCTCCCCAGTATCCATTCAAAGAACCTACATTCACCTGCATCCTAAAAAAATGTGGATTCGGCATTTGAAGGTTTAACTAAATTGTACAAGCAAATGCATCTTATTTGGGGCTTTGCGCAAGCCCAGAATTGTCTCACTTGTGTACCAAAGTTATTCCAATAACATTCTCTCAAGTCTCAACCCTCTATATCTTTCACCTTTGGTCCCATGCACCAAAGCTATAAGGCCACAGGTATTGACGAAGCCACTAGAACACATTTGGAGCAGTGTTGCATAGACACAAACACAAAAATCAGAACCCAACAAGATCCAGGAGAGGCCTGTCAATGGAATCCGAAAGTTCAAAACCAAATTCAACATCCAATCAGATTATTTCAGATTTGGATCTTGGAACCTGCATTCAACTAATAATTGGATCAGATGCAGATTTGAACCTATCTGATCTGATTAAGATACGAGTCCATTTAAAGTTATTATATATACATATATATGTAAACTAATTATGTACATATAGATATTAGATATTTTATAAAGTTTATGATCAATAAGTTCAATATTTTATCTTTATACAAATTTATTATATACATATAAGTTAAAAAGTAATTTTTTTTCTCTTTTAATTTTCTTTGTTTTAAATGCAACAAAGCATATTCAGATTAAATATGAATCCCATCTCAATCCAATATATTGGACTTTGGATCAGATTCAGATATAACGTTTCAATAGCTGGGCAAGGTTAGGGTATGACTGGTTCTGATCCAAATCCAACCAGATTAAGGTCCTATCCAGGAGTCTAACTCAACAAGATGGAAAACAATGAGTTGTATACATATAAATAAACAAATATAAACCATTAAAATACTCAAAATTTTTGTTGAATTTTAACGGTACAAATCCATAAAAAAAAGATTTTAAGAGATCATCTATTTAACTTGATAACATTTGTAGTTTAAGTGGCATTTGTGTACATTAATTGTTTATTTATGTCAAATAAGAAATTGAGAAAGAAAATGTTACATATAAGTGTCCCTCAAGAACGCATGGAGTGTCAGATTCTGGCATTTATCAAACACAAACACATCATCCATTTGGGAGATATGGTTGTTCTACTGCTAATGTATCAGTCTGATGGGAGATGAGTTTCTCTATTTTCTGGGTCTATCCTGTGGTTATTTTTGGTCTATCCTGTGGTTAGTAGAGTGTTATTAGAGTTATTTTAAGCATTTAAGTCCTTGTTTTGCCATCCTTATGGATTACCTATGAGTTTGCCATAGTCAAAAGATAATTAGAAGTTCTATCTGGTCATTGTTGTAGTTGAAATTGGAGTCTATAAAGGGAGATCCGAGCCTTTATGTTGAGTCTGTAAATAAATTCATTGTAATCGAGATTTTAGATGAGATTTTTTGGAAAGGCTTTTAGACGAGAATTAATAGAATAAATTGTTTTCAAGATACTTCTGGCCAAAAGTGTGATTTTTCTCTTTTCTACCATTATTAAAGTTGTAATTTTTCTCATCTATCTCTTATCTATTTCATATTTGAATCTCTTCTTTTCATAATTTAGATTCTTAACTTCACTTCATCCACCAAATTCACCTTTATAGGACTTTCTCCTTCCATCCTGCATCATAAGTATTAGGCTCCCTCAAAGATTAAGTGTCAGAATCCAATGTGTCTGAGATAAACATGTGGCCAAAATAGGAGGGTCCATGTTACAATGCTTGCAGAACAAGAAAAGTAGTTATTATCTGGTCAATAAAAAAAAGTAGCTATTATCTATAGAACATTTATTCAAGGTATTGTCTTTCTAGTCCATTTTGTTTCTTGTAATGTAGTGGTTAGGTTAGGCAGGAGAAGACTGCATGTTGTCCATTTCTTTGGCTAGGCTGCAAAGTTGCTTTATGTTTTGTGTGTCTTTCAGCTTGAGTTTGTGGCCTTTGTGTTTCTCTAATAATGCTCACATGCTCTTAAAATTACCACAAGTTAGTGTTTGTTTATTTAATTTTTTTTTATCTGAGACCATATAAGCCAGTGTTTGTAGAATTTATAGATGACTTTATAAGCCAGTTTTAATATTTTATTAATACGGCTAGAAACACCAAATTCTTTCTTCTATGTACAGGTGGAGGGGATGAACCATCTTGTTTCTGAACTTTCTGATATAGCAGCACAGGAAAGGGCCGTGCTTGACGAGTGCGAAGTTCTATTAGCTTCAACAGCAGTAATGCAGGTAAAACAAGAAAGTGTGCCTATATGCACAAAAAATGGTTACAAACTTCAGATATCTATATTAAACAAATATATCATAGTATCAGTTTTAGGCTCACCTCTTTTTTTTTCTAATTTGGGCACATATCCTTTTGAAAATACTAAATTTTTATCTTCATTTATTACAATAATGATAAATATGGAAGGTTTATTTTGTCCTACAAGAAAAGAACTCTTGGGATATTACTTGGAGAGGTGACACATTTAACAAAAATAGAATGTGTCCAAGTCAACATCTTTCTTTCTTTCTTTTCTTTTTTTTTTTTTTTCTTTTGTGGGGGGTGGGGAGGAAATGAGCCCCAACATAAATTTCTTTTGCACCTTACTTGGGGATCATCTGATGCCAGGTAAAATGATTGTTGATGGAAGTTTGGTAGTGCCACTAATCGGGCATTATTTGTCATTTTGTTTTATTCCCATCTTCACCAGACCTGAACCTCCACTTCTTTTTTTCTCAGTGAGTCTTTTGTGTTGTTGCCAATGATAAAGAACATGTACATGGTAACAAGCTTATAAGCTCAGTCGGACTAGTTTTAGTTTTAATCCTTGACTCCCAATTAACACCCAATTCTCAATATTGTCATTGTTATATGCTATTTTTGATAATGTGGAAACCTGGTAATTGTTAAAACACTATGGCCTATAAATTCATAGCAGAAAAATGTTCTTCTTTGCATCTTTTCATCTCTCCTTTCAGTAGTAAGTGGTCACCTAATAGATGCATATTGGCACGCATGCACTCAAGTACAAGCACTCGTGCCTTGTAAAATGTAGACTTTAACCAGACTGATTTTTACTTCAATCAGGTAGAGGAAAACAGCCTGAGAATCCACCTCATACAACTGCAACAAGCTTTTAAGGAGGCAAAGCAAACTTGGGAGTGAGAACACGAGTGATCTCTCCAGATGGCCAAAAGAAATTCGTACTTGTCCTTGTATTTGGCAGGGATGGTGTCATGCCCGCTTGATTCCCACTTCCAGTGAGTGTAAATTGATCTGTTACTGCCATGGGAATTTTTTTTCCTTTTTTTTTCTTTAGTTTCATTTCATATTTTTTTCCTTTTCCTTTTTCTTTTTACCCTTTCTTTCTTTACTTTTCAACAGAGGGCAATAAGTGCTCATCCCCCCATGTAATTTTTTGTATCACTCAAATGAAAAAGAAAAATGAAAAGGAGAAGCAGAGGATGCAAAATTAGTGCAGGGGTCAAGTGCAATTGATGTGTGAATCTGACTGTCAGGTAGGGCTGTCAAAGTGGGCCAGAACTTACCCCATAAAAATAGAGACCTGGACCCGATTCAGAACCAACCTTACCATCCTGCTTATTGGGTCTGACCCAATAAGACCCCATTATATTTGACAAGCCTTAAGCTTGGTATTTTGACAACAATCAATAAACCTACAAATTTTCTTGTTTTTTCTTCTCAAAATATCTTATATATCCCCTATGAAATGATAATTTTACACATCTTATACCAAGTTATTACAGGTAAACCATGGGAAGCATTTATAAAGCTTTGGGGGTATTATTACTTAATCGGTTCATGTCTTAATCAGGTCTTACCAGGTAAAAGTTTAAAACCAGTCCCAAACCTATTATAATTGGAAAATGTGGGCCTAGAGCCAATTCTATTAAAAGAAATGGAAAGGGTTAATATGGCAAATCAGTCCCAACTGAGGGGTAGCCTAGCTGGTGCGCTGGATGAATTGTCCCAGTAGTGGTGTGGTTTTGAATCCCACTATTATCAAAGAAAAAAGCTGTTGATGTGATCAAGGACCAAAATTTCATCACATATCGGTCTGTATCGGCCAATATATATTGTATCAGAGCCTTTCCAATATGCCCTTACAAGGGGTGTTTTGGGTCGGCAAGTGGTTCAGGGAGTAGACTGGCCTTAAACTGGCTCCTCTGAACCAGTTTTGAAAAAAAAAAAAAGAAAAAAAACATAAAAAATAGTATCGATACAGGCCGATATGCCTTGTATCGATATTTTGAACCTTGGATGTGATGTTGTACTGTTCACTTAAAGAGTAACGACCCCTAAGGGAGTATTAGGCAGTGAAGTCAGTGATTAATACCAAAATGAAAAAGGTTAATATAGAAAATCTAGCAAAATAGTTGGAGAATCCAGAGAGAGAGAGAGAGAGCATGGAAACATGTAGATGCAAAGTCTTATATTTTGTATCATTTTGTATCTATTTCTATTGTACATATTTGTATTTATACTCCTTCCAAATTGAGCCTTAGAAGTAAGAAAATATTTGAAAGTTTGAACGAGAAAATTTCTGAGCAACAAAGCCAGTAAAAACTGTTCGTGGGCTAGGCAGGGTACCTCCAATCTGAGGGACCTTCGGGAAGTTTTAGGTTAGCAAGTGGAAAATGGTAGAGATATCTGGTTTTGGACAGATACTTGTGTACTCCTATTGTGCATAATGTTCCTGAAGATGATATTGAGAACATTGATAGAAAATGTTGGTATCACCAAAGAATTCGAAATATAGTACCAAGGGAAATTTGGGAAAAGATTAGAGACATTGTCACCACCATCAACCGATAAAAATGATTAAGCTTGTTTGAAAAATGGAAAACAATGGTAATTTTTGCACTAAAACAAACAGATTATCTTAGAGTTTGCATCAGAGCCCCAAAGAGAGTGCCCAACATGCACATCTCAGCATGCATTGCGAACATCTCCATAGTTGTCATTAGGAGATGTTCCCCATACTGTTGGGATGTGTTGTGGGGCTTAGATGCGAATTCTTAATCTTGTTGGCCATTCTGAGGTTGGGGATGGACCCAATGTTAGGGTCTATAACTAAAATTTGAAAGATGTCATGTCCACCAAATTGGAAAGTTCTTTACTTTCTTCTAAATAATAGACTACCTGTAAAAAAAAATTAAATAGGAGGTCGAATGGGTGCAACCATACTAGCACTAATGCATCAGATTCAATCAAAATTTAGAAGTTAAACTTGCTTGGACAAAATTAGTACTATGATGGCTGATCTAAAAATCCTATTAAGAAAGAGATACCCTGGAGAGGCCCACGGCAGCTACGGAAAAGCAGAAATAATTCAAGTTTCTCCAACACATGGGCCCCTCCTCCAACTCTGATATAGAGCTCGGGCTGGGCTTATTGAGGAGTTGGACTGTAACTTGTCTCTAAAAAATGACTGTAAAAAATGCGTTCAAATTTCAATGCATTCCTGGAAATGTTAAAAGAGAAACTTCCCAAGAATCGAAGCTTTTTTGGGACATCCTTATGGGAAAATTGGCAATCTGGAATATCCATCCCATCATCAAAGAGTGGAATTGGGATCTGTTCCTGACAGCCACATCCCACTGTGTATTAAAAACATTTTCTATGAATAATAATATACAAGTACGAGAAACGTTCTAAATGTATGGCTGGTACAGTGAGATCGGCATGAAGAGAAGATGCGGACTCCGAGGAGTGCATTGTCTTAACTTCTTCAAAATGGTTGCATCTTAATCAGAATTTAGTAGATTAATTGGGCTTTAGGTTGCATTGCTTTTTGTGATTTTTTTTTTTTTTTTCCTTTTGAGTTGCATTACCCCGTCTTGTGTAGTCCCTTTCATAGTTAATTAGTTATAGTTACAGTAATCAGAGTCCCCAAGACCTAGAATTTTGGGATTCTATGCCACTACCCTGCATTAGTTAAAATGGGTCTGTCATCTACCTAGTTCAACCTAAATGGTCAAATAACCCTCAAACTTCCCACTTCAAAGTTTAATGAGATGTGAGCATAATCAAATTTTATAGCAAATTCAAAGTCATAAATCTAATGCTAGAAGAGCTGCTATTTCATTGATGATGATCATTGGTGACTTTGACCTTGAGCTGAGTTTCTCCATTCTTCTTTTTAGCCTTTCTATAGGCTTTTTTGTCTCCTGTTGTACGACTAAGCAGGCTTTGAGTAATGTGGAGAACTTGGAAGTCCAATGAAATAAAAACATGCACTATGAATCGGCTGCTTGATTTGTAGGGTTGTCAACAGGTCGGGTCTGAGCCGGGACCAATTAGAACTAGAATTGACCCAATAGAAAATATTAAGTACTTAAAACTAAATCGGACCTAATAGGGTCTGTAATTATTAGACCCAAAACTGAATATATCAGTTCTCGAGATAATCGGATTGATCCGACAGACCCAATTATAATAAATAAATATATAAATGTGTTTTGTATATATTAAATATTATAATATATATATATATATATATATATATATATATATATATATATATATATTATGTATCATATGAATATAACTTGGGTTGAGTCTGAATCAGTTCGGGACTGGGTGGAACCGATTCCGAATCAATAATAATTGAGACACTATATCAAGACCTGGAACCGATCCATCAGTTTCAGTTCCTAGAACCAGAATCAGCCCAATTGGATTCGAATTCAGATATTGCTTGATCCAATTCGAATTCAATCCATTTGCACCCCTACTTACACCCACCCATGCCCAGCCCCGTGCACTTGAGCACTCCTTCGATACCATGAAGATTTTCTACCCATGTGGTGGTGGAAAGTGTGTACTTGTCGTTGCGTGGAATGGAAAGGCTAAGAATGTTGGGTAGGAGTCCTATGGTCGTTACTACTACATGGGTTATACATTATGTTGTGATTTTGCATTCGGCATTTGTATAACGTATCATCTAACCCAAATTTTGGTTATTGTTGTAGTTTTCCCCTTATAGAAGATGTATTTTCTTCTCATGGAAGGATGAGGCAAGGAGCTATCCATGTGGAAATAGGGTTTGTAGGGTCTTCACATCTAAATGGTTTGGTACACATGTGAGACAATTATGGATTTGCGCAAAGCCCCAAATAAGATGCATTTGCTTGTACAATTTAGTTAAACCTTCAAATGCCGAATCCACATTTTTTTAGGATGCAGGTGAGTGTAGGTTCTTTGCACGGATACTGGGGAGAGAAAATGTCCAGCATAACACGGGGAGAGTAACCATCAAAGGAGATGGGGCAGGACCTTCAAGAAGTATGGAAATGTAAATACCTGCTAGATGAGGTTGAAGTAGTTGTTCGATCAGTGAATGATAACTTTGATAGAATGTCTGAATCTTGTGATAAATTGTTAGATTGTATAAAAAATTTACGAATCAAAGATGTATAATCTAATGCACTAGTATGCAATGTTGGTACTTGGACAATTTGCGAATCAAATTTAGTTTTTCTTTACAAAAACGTATAATCCAAGCCTTGTGGTTGTTGGTATCCCAATGGTTTCACAAAGTTATTCCAATAACATTCTCTCAAGTCTCAACCCTCTATATCTTTCACCTTTGGTCCCATGCACCAAAGCTATAAGGCCACAGGTATTGACGAAGCCACTAGATAAACTATGGTCTCCACAAGAAGCTACAGATTTTTAAATTAATAAGCCCCAACTGTTCACCACATGTGATCCGGGTTTTGACAGTGGACCTATTGACCGATTTGCAAGTTGAATTGTCTAGGCATCCATCCCTTCTACTCATTATCTTCTACTCATGAGGCAAGTTTGACTTTGAAATACAAGGAAAAATGAAATAGATTAAAAGAGTGAAATATAAGCCTCTAGCACAACTCTTGGGTTCTAATTCAATCTTGACAAAAGTTTTTTCTATCCATGGCTTATTTCAGTTATTCTTCTCTCGTGTTGGTGCATGGACAAAAATAAATGACTATTCACATTTATTTTATGCTATTAAAGGATCTTGACGTCTTCTGTATCTTGGAATGATATGATGACAGTTTTGTCTTTTATGTTGCTGGTTTTACAGTGATCAAAAACCCTATTAATTTGGAAAAGAACCAGGCAAACCCCAAGGTGGCTCCAATCATAACAAAGATGATGAGCAAATTTGCAGGTTCCAAATAATCAATGTTAGAGGGTGAGGTAATATCCATAACTATGGGGTCTTTGAGCCATCACCTGATTATAATCCTTAGCAGAACTCCATCTCACATGTTTTTGTTATAGATTGGGAAAAGAACTTTCTTGTTTTCATGTAAGAATAGCAGAACCCAAATTTTGACATTTAACCAAATAATATAATCCAGCAACCTAGTCTGTAATTGGCCTTCTTAACTACTATACCAGATGTGGTATCTTTAGTTGTAGTTGAATCCAATAACTATCATGGTCCCCAAAACTGGCTTAGCAAGACT